GCCCCTGATCCCCTCCCATGCCCCAACCCGCTGCCCCAGTCCTGATCCCCCTCCAACCCTCCGAAACCCTCAGTCCCACCCCAGAGTCCGCACCCCCAGCCAGAGCCCTCACCCCATCCTGCACCCCAACCCCCAATTTCATGAGCATTCATGGCCCGCCATACAGTTTCCATACCCAGATGTGGCCCTTGGGCCAAAAAGTTTGCCCACCCCTGGTATGGAACAATGTTGAGACCACTATCACCTTCTTACCCACACTCAATATTTGTTTTTTCATTTAAGGATCACGCTAGCCACAGCATCACACTGTGAGTTCCTGTTCAGTTGCTTATCCACCATGACACCAAATCCTTTGCAGAACCACTGTTTGACAAAATACACCCCAGACTTGTTGATAAAAATACTCAATAAGGATGGTCTGAGAACCAGTCCCTATGGGACCCCACTAGAAAGACCCTCACCACTTGATGATTCCTAGTTAACAGTTATCCATTGAGATTTATCAGCCAGTTTTAATCCATTTAATATGTGCTATGTTGATTTTGCATAATGCTATTTTTTTAATCTGAATTTTATGTGACACCAAGTTCATTATATTAGTAGTTACCTTTCACAAGGTTGCAAGTGTGGTTGATAAACAACTATTTCATTTTCATTTGACAAGACCTGTTTTTCAAGAATACATGCAGATTGGCATTAATTATATTTCCTTCCTTTGCTGATAGAGTCCCATATCAGCCACTGCATTATTTTTTCCTAGGATCAAGGTCAGGCCAGCCAGGTCAGCCCATTTAACTTTTGAATACTGGCACAACATTCAGAGGGGTAGCCGTGTTAGTCTGAATCTGTAAAAAGCAACAGAAGGTACTGTGGCACCTTTAAGACTAGCAGAAGTATTGGAAGCATAAGCTTTCGTGGGTAAGAACCTCACTTCTTTACTTGCATCTGAAGAAGTGAGGTTCTTACCCACGAAAGCTTATGCTCCCAATACTTCTGTTAGTCTTAAAGGTGCCACAGGACCCTCTGTTGCTTGGCACAACATTGGATTTCTTCCAGTCCTCTGGAACTTCCCCAGTTGCCCAAGATTTATTACCCAAGATTTATTAAAAATTCACATTGATTATCTGGAGAGCTCCTTGGCCAACTCTTAAACTGCAGTGAACGTTACCTGGACCTGCACTGTCTTGACACCCAGTTTTCTCTGCCCCATCTCCCCCTCCTGCCACAAGTAGGCTACTATCATTAGCATCTTTTCTTTATGGTTGGGAGGACAACAACAGTCTAATTCAGACTTATTCTCTTAGAGTAGCCACAAGAATCCAGTCAACAGCAGTGTAGTCCACACCTCCTGTCTCCCTCCCTCCACTCCCACCAACTCTAACACTAGATGCATCACTTTCATGCCACTCCACATTCCCATTTGCCTAGAATGAGAGAATACGAAATTCTCCAAAATGAGCAGAATATAACTTTAATGATCACTCTGCTCTTTGGCACTAACATTACTTTCTAAAAAACAGTTTCTATGGGCACTGATGTTCCTACCCTTCACCTACACTAATCAATGGCACTTTCAGTTGTAAGGCTCAGATTGGAAGCAATTTCTTTGATATTCTCAGAGGTAGGAAAGAATTTCTTATCTTCTTGAGTGGCTCTCAGCATACATATATCACTTGTAGGAGTGCTACTTATATCCTATTGTAATAACCTGAGCAACCTGCTTAAGCACTAAAACGCATAGCTGAACTCACTGTATTCTGATAAGAAAGAGATTTTCTTTTTATACACATCTGAACTGAGAAATTCATTGTCTTTTGGATCTGAATTTAGCAATGAACACAGGCCTAGCCTGACTTGATCCTTATAATGGAATTCCACTGTTTACATCTTGGATGGCACGCCATCTCATTTTATTTGCAACAAACCTATACTATACTATACCTTGATAGGTAAAAAGAAAAATGACTGTAGTCAGATTTCATAACAGGATCACCACAAGGATACTTACAGTCTGCATTTTGGGAGCACAAGCTAAGCTGACTTTGCAAAGAAGTTTCTGTACATTCCAATAACTTTGCCCGGTCACTTTCATTAACTCCAAGAGTGAAAGACACAGAAAGTCCTGAAAGATGATTAAAAGGAACAGAGTTCAATCTGGGGATTGAAGGGGGGAAAAGAGATTACATTCATTTAATATATTTATAAACAATCAGTTCATATTCCAAATTCCCCCATGGTGCAATTCCACTCAAGACAATAGAATTATACAAGGCATTAATTTTGCCTCACATTTTAAAGGGCTGGGTGGGAGTGGGGAGAGCGGAAAAAATTAAATATTCAATTGTCATATTGGGGTGGGATGAAACAATATTGCCTTTCTCACAAGCCTCTGTCCTTAACTGAAAAATGACCACAGACCACATCAAACAATGTCTCATTTTCTAATTATCAGACTTAGGGCCACATCCTACAATTGGATTCATGTCAGAGGACTGCAGCCTCTGCACAGAGACCCTGGCTCTGCTTAAGGATCCATTCATACAAACATTTGCAGGATCTAGCCCTGAATCACCCTGTATTGGACAAAGTCACCAAATTAACAATTCTGGTTTGAGAAGAGAATGAGAAAACACCACTACTAGTTTCAGTTTAATATGACCATCTTCACTTCCTGTTGTATTGTGCTGCTGTATTTGGTTAAACAGTTGTCTTGCTCCACCCAAGTGGCAGCTGAATTTCATTGGTGACAGAAGTGATCTCTACATTACTTTAGGATCTTTGGGATGAAAGGCTCTATATAAATGTAAAGTATGAACCTGTTGGGAAGTTATATTTCTGCACACATTCAAGACTACACCTTTACAAGGCAGCAGGCCATTCATGTGTCAGAGACTCATAACCCAACATAAAATAAATCTCTATATCTATTAAGCGAAAGTCTCACCCGACAGGTAGTGATCTGATGCCGACTCAGCCTGTCACAAAGTTCCTGAGATAACCCTGCTCTTCTTAATTTTTTAGTGGCCATGTTCCCACATCTGGTGAACAGAAAAAACAATCATAGTACAGCAAAACAAATCTAGAAAAGCTGTTTGCAATACCAACACAAACAATACCAGCACAAAAACACAAACACACACTCTACTCTAAAGAATGGGAACATATCACACATTACAAATCTTTGTACTATTGGAGTGTGTAAGTGGTCACAGAGCAACTCCTGTTAAATAACAATTACCCATAAATAGCCAAATGCAAGGCCATGCACCTAGGAACAAAGAAAGCAGGTCATGCATACATGATTAGTGACTCCATTCTGGGAAGCAGTGACTGAGATTTTGGGGGTCATAGCAGATAATCATCTGAACATGAGTTCCCACTGCAACACTGTGACTAAAAGGACTAATGCAATCCTTGGATGTATAAGTAGGGTAATATCAAGTAGAAGTAGAGAATATCTGGCAATGGTGCAACCGCTACTGGAATAGTGTGTCCACAATTCAAGGTTGCTGAGAAATTAGAGAGGTCAGAAAAGAGGCACGAGAATGATTAAAGGATGAGAAAACATACCTCAGTGAGAGATTTAAGGCACTTGATCTATTTAGCTTATCTAAGAGAAAGTTAAGGAGTGACTTGATCAAAGTCTGTAAGTACCTAAATGGGGAACAGAAATTTGATAATAGAGGCTCTTCAATCTTGCAGGCAAAGGTATAGCACAATCCAATAGCTGAAAGTTGAAACTAGACAAATTCAGGCTAGAAATAAGGTGCATGTTTTTAACAGTGAGGGTAATTAACCATTAGAACATCTTTCCAGGGGTTGTGGTGGATTCTTTATTGCTTGCAATTTTTAAATCCGTATCAGTTGTTTTTCTAAAAGATATGGTCTAGTTCAGCCATAGCTATTGAACTCGAAGAAGGAATTCAAGGAAGTCCTATGGCCTGTGTTATGCACCTCAGACTTGAAGATAACAATGGCCCAGCCTTTAAATCTAGTAATTAGCTGGGATATTACAACTGTACCATTTTTCATGTTCTTCTAATCTCTCAACCAGGGCATAAAAGATACCAGTATGCCTGGCAACTGAAAAGCAGATGTAACAGATCGTATAAAGCATCTACACACTTTTGTCTTCCTATCTACACATATATTCAATCATTTTGTTCTTTCACACATAATATCCTGAGGATATTCCCTGTGGGTTCGTAACGAGGATTTCAAAGAGACTGGCTCTTCTGAATGTCTCTCAGGTATCACTGATCTTGGTGCCTGGTGGGTCAAGCCACAGGGTTATGTTAGTGTTGTGTGAATACTCATGCAGTGCAGAAATCACCAGTGGAGTTCATTGTTATGTATATCACTATAGATCTCAGAGCTCACAACATATATCTTTGTCATTTGGCTGCATCAAAATGTTATTGTTGAAGTGCTAAATTTCTCCTGCAGCCATAGAGGAGATATATACATCTTTACATGTTCAGTGTCCTGCCAAGAAAGCAGTAAGTGTCCTGGAGATTGAGAAGTGAAGGTTGATTGTAGAATAGGATTTGCAGGATGTTAAAAGGACAGTCATGAAAAGGATCAAATTAGTAAATAATTTTTCGTTTTAATATAACATCCACACACTCAGCTCATAGCTCTAGAGTAGCAACTGGCTCTCATGTATCTCACATACTGCTATTGCAAAACCCATGTGTCTGATCAGATCTTCTGTTACTCTGCTTTGTTTCAGGAAGAGAAGAAAACAATTAGACACAGAAATGCTACCCATAACCCTTGGCACACGATATGGCACCAGGCAAAGGGACAAGAGCTACTTCCAAAGCAGCCTGGAAGAAAAAAAGAATGAAACAGCTTAGCAGGGAAACAAGGAGGAAGGAAAATACTGATAGGGAGTTCCAGAAAGCCAAGAGATCCTGAAAATTCATTGCCATGTTTGCCTTGCGACATTAGGGCTTCATCTACAGGACCCATAATTCATCACTGATGCAGTTCCTACAGTAGAACCTGTAGACAGGACTCAAGTGTTACTTCCACCCCGTTATTTAACCCTACTCAGATGATGCTATGGTACAAAAATAACACTTGAGGCTATGGCTACACTACAGCGCTTAAAGCGACACAGCTGTGCCACTGTAGTACTGTTACAGCAGATACTCTAAAGCCAACAGGAGAGTTCTCCCACTGACTTGTTTACTCCAGCCACTGAGAGGAGCTGGAACTATGTCCATGGGAGAAGCGCTCCTGCAGACATAGCGCTATCCACACCAGCACTTAGGTCATGTAATTTACATCACTCAGGGGGGAGGGTAACTCATACCGAGGTAAGATGTAATGTGTACATAGCCTCAGTTTAATCCCAGTTTCCACCAGCGGGGCTGCACCAATAGTGAATTACAGGTCCTAATGCTGCCAGTGCAGACAGGGTTTATGGCGCGGATTCTGCAAGTGCATCTATGGGGATCATCATCCAGCTGTTACCTCTCCTTTGTGAATGACCCCAGGGGGGAGAGGCCTCCCTACCTACCCCCCACTTCTTGCATGGCCCAGAAGGCGGTAATGAGCAAGTCACTCCCAGGGCTGCCCAAAGGATTCAGGGGGCCTGGGGCAAAGCAATTTCAGGGGCCCCTTCCATTAAAAAAAAAAAGTTGCAATACTATAGAATACTATATTCTGGTGGGGGCTCCTGAGGGACTTGGGGCAAATTGTCCCACTTGCCCCTCCCCTCCGCCACCTGGGCAGCCCTGGTCGCTCCACATACACACACCAGCGCCCCCAGGAGAATGGGCTGGGGGGGGGGCGCCCCTCATTCTGCCCTGACCCCACTTCCCCCGTGGGATAGTGCGGGAATGTCCCTCCCACACACTGCAGGGCGCCCCGCTGCCTTCCCGCGCCATCCCAGGTTGCCCATGTCCCGCCCGGCGACTGCTGGCTGCAGCCCCCTCCTCCTGCCCTGGGGCCGCCGAGCCCCTCCCTCCGGGCTCCGCCATCCAACCGCCACAACGGCCCCGCGCCCTGACCTGGCAACTTTTTCAAAGTCTCCCACTTCCCCGAGCAAGAGGTGGAGCCACAGAGCAACATCGAGGGCAGCGATTGGCCCGTTACCCTAAGCCACCGACCAATAAGCTGCAGCGCTATGGCTCAGCCAAGCGCGAGGCGTGCTGGGAGTTGTAGTTCTCTGGGGAGGCTCGCACAGTGAGCGGCGGCCCGCCCACAGCCCGTTCTCCTCTGGGTGTATGAGGTGTGCAGGGGTTTTGCTCCCTGCTGTGCATCTAGAGTGCTGGCAGCTGTCCCCCTTGGCTTGTTTTCAAGGGATGGAAGATAAGAGAATTCCTCATCCCCATAATTTCATGGCTGTGGTTGTGTATGTACAAGCACGTGATGGTTTGAAGCTGCCCAGAGGCTCAGAATGTTAGAAGTCCAGGGACCAGCTAAAGTCACTTTCCTTGTAGAGACTGGTCCAAAGGCAGAGCTCAAACTACATATACAGGAAAAATGGAGGTACTTTTAAAATGGTGATTACTATTACTTAGCATTAATATACTTCTTTAATCTCAAATTGCTTTATAAAGGTGGGTAAGCATTATTTCCATCTTCTGATGGGGGGAGACTGAGATGTACAGAGTTTGAAAGATTGTTTGCTGAAGGTGAAGCCACTGCAATTTCAAATTATAAATGCATATAAAATAATCATCATGGTACAAACCAGTTAGCAGGTAGCTGTCTCCACCTGTAGCAAATTCTTGCATTGTAATTCTAAAGAGTGTTCCCTTCTTGAGAAGGAGGGAACCTAATGGCAGAGTAACCCATTCACAAGTATTCAAATTCATTACAACATGCGGGGAGAAAGCTTTACATTAATCTGCTTATGAGGAAATTGTCAGATCAACCTTCAGGGAATTCTGGAAACACCCACAAAGAAATTATTCAAATAATGGAAGCAAAGCCAAAGGTTGCCTTCAAGGACCAAGGCAGGGTTGGATTCTAACTGATTACACAATATTAAAGTAGAACTGCAAACAGAAAGAGGAAGTATGCTTCAGATTACGTTAACCACTAACTGTCCTAGGATCCAGCTCTCTGGAGTTTAAAAAGAAATTGAGATTCACTCCACAATCGGCTAAGTGATTTGTCATCATTTGACTCTCATAAAAAAACAGTATGGTAACATAATTGATGGAAATCTCCATCAAGTTCAAGATTATTTGGTCAAAGTCCTAAATGATTGGGAACAGGATTCAGAGCCCAGACATGGGTCACAAATAAAAATAATTTGGTTGGTCTCTAATTAGTCCTCATTTGTCCATTTCACAAAGCCACTGCAGAATTTCATATTACTGGCATCTTCTGTTCAGAAAAAGCAATATGAAAAAAGATCTAGTAGCGTGCTAGAAAATATCCTGTTCAAATCCATTTGGATAATCACATTGTATTGACTTAAGTTCTCCTTGCAGTTCAGTTGCCAAAGTTAGTCTTTACTGCGTTCCCCCTTAAAAACATGCATATCGTTGCTGAGGCAGAATGGCTGCCGTGCCCTACCCTAGAGTTCCTGCATTCTATTAGTAGGTTAGCACATACAATCCTTGTATGTGCAGTCTACAAATCATTTGGTAGCATTCAGGATGAAAACCAGTATAAAATATAAGGTTTCAGTAATAATGAATAATAAGAGAAGGATTATCTTTTGACTCAAACTCAGGACTTGGTCAAGAGATTTCATTTCTATGGCCTGCCAGCCCTATCACAGACTCCCTCTCCAGCCTAAGGAAAATCCATTAACTGCTTGGTGACACCTGTAAAATAGGAATAACAACTACCTTACAGAAAGCTTGTGAGGCTTAATTCATTAATGTTTGCAATGTGATTTGGAATCCTCAGATGGAAGGCACCTAAAAAGTGAAAAGTATTATTTGTGTTATCTGCAGTATTAATCATTGTCATAATATTTAGTCCCAAAGATTAACCTAGCTGATTGAAAAAATACGTTGACTCATTTGGAATATATATTGAGGGAGACAGACGCCCTGAACTGTATGTTTATGTGTGTGTAGTGCAATAAAAAAAATATAGTGGAATTGAAAAAAAAATACAAGAGCAAGTTCAATACTTTATAAAACCAGCAAGTCAGTGGTGGATTAGCCACTGGGCCAATGGGGCCTGTGCCCAGGGGCCCCAGCCAATTGGGGGCCCCCAGAAAATGAGTGCACCCGCTCCGCCCACCCTCCCGGTGCTCCTGCCGGAGAGCAGGGTTGGGGCACAGGGGCTTGGCCCCTGTCCACCCACCCAGCCCTCCTACCGGGGAGCAGGAAAAGCCCCGGCGACCCTACCCTTCTTCCCATCAGGAGCACCAGGCGGATGAGGGAAGCCCCCATACACTGACTCCGCTCCCCGGCAGGAGTGCCAGGCGGAGGGGTGGGGCAAGCCCCCACACCTCAACCCATTTTCCCGGCAGGAGCACTGGGAGAGAGGGAGGATGGGGTGGGGGACTGCAGGCAGAAGGGATGGGGAAGGGCCCCCACTTGCTCTGGCCCAGACCCCCACAAACCCCTAATCCACATCTGCAGCAAGTCATAAAAACATGGTGAAAGATATGACATAGCAAGAGGCCATGAATAAGGCTGAGAGTTTGACCTCCGTGACTTCTGCAGCAGCCGGTGCGGCAGGCTCCACGGCTGCCCGAGCAGCTTAGGCAGCCCCTGGGCCAGTTGCACTGGCCACTGCTGGGGCAGTCTCAGGCACCGCCCCCACCCAAAACTAGCAGGAGGAGTTTGGGTGTGGGAGGGGGCTTAGGGCTGGGGTTGGGGCACAAGAGGACGTGAGGGCTCTGGGCAGCACTTACCTTGGGGGGCGCCCCGAAAGCGGCAACGTGTCCCTCCCTCCCTAGCTCTGTGCACTGCCTCCATCTGCCGGCATGCCCCCACAGCTCCCATTGGCCATGGATACCAGCCAATGGGAGCTGTGGAGCTGCCAGCGTGCGTAGCTATGAACTTCGGGCGGGACATGTCACCGTTTCGCCGCTTCCAAGAAGCCAAGTAGGGGGCCTGCGAGCTCCAACTCCCCCCCTCCCAGCACCAGCGGAGGTTCCGGGTTGCTCCCACCCAAGCACCTGCGGCGCCCCCTGGACCGCCCCCCCCCAAACACCCGCATTCCCCCAGCACCCATGGCACACTCCCCAGGTCTCCGCCCAGCATCCGCGGCCCCACTCCCAAGATTTAGTCAGGGGTATAGTACAAGTCATGGATAGGTCACAGGCCGTGAACTTTTGTTTACTGCCTTTTAGTAAGTCCATGACTTACTAAAAATACCCATGACTAAAATGTAGCCCTTAGCCATGAGAAATCTAACAAATATACAATCAAAAAGAGTTAATGAAACAGGGAGTGCACACTAAGAAATAAAGGAGTTGTTTTCAATGAGAAATACCACAGAAGATTTAAGGAATTGGTAAAAGAGCAAGCAATATGTCAAATATACAGAGATGAAATGGAGAAAGAGTGCCACCTAGGGTAGTAAAAAAGTCTGCAATCAAAAATGGACTTTAAGACAGACTTGAAATGAAAAGGGTTGGACAAGGGAGGGAAAGCTGTGTGCATATTGGAGTGGGCAGGGTATAGAGATACCCAGGGCCAGATTAAGGCAATCTGGGACACCATATCACAGCCCCATTGCCCACTAGGCGTGTCAGTAAGAAGCCCTCCCCCTCCTCCCTCCCCCCCCACCTTCTCCCACAGTGGCAGTAGCACAGGTCTCTTTATCTTCTCCAGATGCAGGTTTCCCCCTCACCTCAGGAGAAGCAGGGTTCTCTCTCTTCCTCCAGAAAGGCAGGACAGCCACAGCTGTAGTGAATCCCCCAGTACTTACTCCAGTATCTGGGGGTATCTGCATGGGGCATAGGCTGGATTTACAGCATTCTTCTCCTGTCACATAGTCACCAGTGTAAGGTGGTGTTAGCAGGGCTCTCCCAGAGCAGTGGAGTTTGCCGTTAACACCCCATTAAGATGCATAGGGCAGTTCATCCCTCTCAGAGCTATTATTCCAGGCCATCTGCAGCGTCAGACAGATATCACTGTGTTGGTTACATTTGGGTCAGATTTTCAAGTTTTTCTTAAGATTCTGACAATCATATGCCTCCAGCAGTTAGGGCCCTTATTCTGGCCCTCAAAATATGGGTGTGCAAAACAAACTAAGTTCACATATTTCAGAGTAGCAGCCGTGTTAGTCTGTATCCGCAAAAAGAACAGGAGTACTTGTGGCACCTTAGAGACTAACAAATTTATTAGAGCATAAGCTTTCGTGGACTACAGCCCACTTCTTCAGATGCATGGTATGCATGGTATGCATCCGAAGAAGTGGGCTGTAGTCCACGAAAGCTTATGCTCTAATAAATTTGTTAGTCTCTAAGGTGCCACAAGTACTCATGTTCTTTTTAAGTTCACATACACATACAGACACCATGGTCATCAGTAGGCATGGGACCTCAGGCCTTCAACAACAAAAGCACAGATCCTTAATGCTCAAGCTAAAAGAGAACTCCTTTACTTTACGAGCATAGGCACGGGAACTAGGGTGCAGGGCGTGCTGCAGAACCCTCAGCTTTTAGCTGGGGTTCCACTCCTGGCTCCCCGGTGCCATGGGTCCCCACCCCCAGGTCGTGGCTGCCAGCTCCAGGGAGTGGGGGGGCAGACAGGAGTAAGGGAGCTGGCTTTCAGCACCCCCATTATTCAAAGAGAGGTAGCAATAGGAAGGCTGTGTAGTTGCTAGGACCAGTACTAAAGGGAGACATGATCACACTCAC